GCCGCTGAATCAAGCAGGGTGTGTCCTACTTGGGAAATTAGTTTGACAGAAAAAAATGTCCATCCTTTCAGGACAAAAACAACAACAGGTCGACAACATTAAGGATTGTCCCCATTCTGTCTGCTATCAAGAGGTCTAATTTCACAGCTACAACACCTCCGTGTGATTCTAAGCAGACTTCACTCTCAATACCTCTTCCATTCCATTCCAATTTTCAAATGCAGGCTTCCTTTTTTTATAGGAAGAATACATGGCTCTCCAAACTGGGGGGGTGGGTTTGTTATGATTGGGTTCACTCACTGTGTTAAGCCAGCCAGGGATTTGTTTGGTTTTGATTTTGCATGTTGCATGATCCCAACCATTGTCAGTTATTCAGCGAATGTGTCAATTGTGTGATGTATGATCTCAGTGTGAAGCTGTATTGGGAGCAACCTGTGGCTTCTCTAAATATATGCTTAGCAGAATTACATGCAGAAATATGTGTAATTTTTCTTCAGACTATTTACCTGATCTTCAGTATTGTCACGCCAGCCTTCTATAACCATATGATGATCCCTAAGCAAGAAGGTCACTCACATTCTCTCTCTCTCTCTCTCTCTCTCTCTCTCTCTCTCTCTCTCTCTCTCTCTCTCTCTCCCTCTCTCTCATCATCATCATATCTATCTATCTATCTAATCATCTATCTCTATCTTTCTATCTAATCATGTCTCTATCTATCTAATCATCTACCTCTATCTTTCTATCTAATCATCTATCTCTATCTTTCTATCTATCCAATCATCTCTCTCTCTATTAATATCTCTCTATCAATATGTCTGTCCATCCATCCTCTGAGAATTCACACCTTTTTCCTCTTCTCAGGCACCACATGAGGCTCCTCAAGGGGTGTGGAGAAAACCTGAACCAGCAGTAAACGAGACGTGTGCGAAACCTCCGAAGAGCTGTCATTCAAATTGCCATCTCTTCTTCCTTTGGGCCTCAGTTCCACTTCTTTCAAGCAACCATGATTCATTGCGGAGAGCTGTCATCACAGAGATGATTAACATTGGAGCCAAAGCCTTGGACACACTTCCCAAGTCTTCTTAGTCATTACTCTTCATTAATAAATAGCTCACAGCTAAACAGGATTTGTTGACTCATTTGTTGGTAGTACTTTATGGCAATAGCCGGTTCCTTTCTGGCTACCCTTCTGAATGCCGGCCTTTCCACTCCTTTCCTGACTAAAGGAAAAGAATGTCTGCAGGGCATGGTCAAAAAAGTCAAGAGGGAACCTGGGAAAATGCAGTCAATGCTCCGCCCATTTTTACCTGCTAACAGAGATTCATCGGAACGCAGATGTTTCTCCCTTGCTTCAGAGATCCTGAAAACGGGGCTAAAGCCACTGCAAGCAGAAGCCTAATTCCTTCATCTCTCCTTTATCCCAGCCTATAAATATAGGCCTTCCATATACCTCCCATAAATCAGAAGGTCTTTTTGAGATCATCAAGTCCACCCCCCTACTCTGTAGAAATTAAAGGGATCCAAATTGAAACTTCTGTGAAAAGGTGTCTTTCTAGCACTAGCTTGAACACACCCAGTGTAGGGAAGACCTCAACAGCGGTGGGGCAGAAATCCAACAGGTGCAGCCAGAAACACTCTCCCTACAAGAGCCTATTCGCCAGCGACACAGATGCTTCTTGTGCTCTGAAGAACGCAGGGGGAGGGGGAGAGGGGAAGGAGGATGAAAAAAAAATGCTTTCTTTAATTTTCCTTGAAAGTCTGGAGACAAGGGTACTGGTTGCAGGAAGGAATCCATTTCAGGGAAATTCTGAGTACTAAGGTCTTCAGAGGTGCTGATCTGGATTGTTTTGCTATCATTATTACTTCTTTTTAAAAAAAAAACAACAACCCCCCCCCCCCAAAAAAAACAACTCTTGATTTTGGTGTTACGATTGCAAAATCCCTGGGGGATTACAATGGAGCATTTGCCCAGCAAAGAGGTTCTAGATTACCATACAATCTGCTTGACTGCTATTTCATTAATTCCCCTGCTCTAAATTTTCTTTCCAAATCCCAACCGAGGCCATTGTCCACTAGATGTTGTGGGGTACAGTCCTCAGAACCTACAAACATCTGCTTTGCTGCCTGGGCTTAGGGCAGGTGGACTTCAACTCCCAGAATTCCTGAGCCAGCATGGGGGAAACTATGGCCCCTTCATGACTCATGGACTTCAACTCTCAGAATTCCTGAGCCAGCATGGGGGAAACTATGGCCCCTTCATGACTCATGGACTTCAACTCCCAGAATTCCTGAGCCAGCATGGGGGAACTATGGCCCCTTCATGACTCGTGGACTTCAACTCCCAGAATTCCTGAGCCAGCATGGCTCAGTTTAGAAACTCCCTTTCCCCTCAGCATGGCTGGCTCAGGAATTCTGGGAGTTGAAGTCCACCAGTCATAAAAAAGCCCAGGTTGCCTACCCTGGCTTAGAGGAATTGTAGTGCTAAACATATTGGGGATTCCTCTTTGAAACTAAGCTGCTCCTTGAAGGCAGAGACTTACCTACATTGGTCCAGCTCCTCCATGGAAAAAGCAACACTCCCCCCACCCCCTTGGCTAAATTTCTGGTTTTAGAAGGCCTAAAATGGGAGGTTAGCTTTTATTTCTCATCCTGCATCATATAGTTGGCTTGGCTTGGGAGGGGGGCATTGTTTTATTTATTTATTAGATTTATATTCCACCTTTATTACTTTTTGTAAGTAAAGTCCAGGTGGCAAACATACACGATACTCCTTTCTCCTCCTTTTTTTCCCCCACAGCAACAACAATCCTGTGAGGTAGGTTGGGCTGAAACAAAATGACTGGCCCATAGTCACCCAGACGGCTTCCATGTCTAAAGTGGGACTAGAATTCACCATCTCCTGGTTTCTAGGCTAGCACCTTAACCAAACTGGTTCTTTTTCAGCATCTTCTTGCCCCAAGGCAGAAATTTTTTGATTCAAGCCAGAGAAATGGAAACTCCTCAGATTCACACAGCGAAATCTCATGAGGTGTTGGACTCTTTTTTTTTTTTTTTACACCAGACCAGACAATGTTTTTGGCCGCCAATGAATTTTATGTCTCAAGCAATCACGTCCACTTGTTTTGGCTGTCTCCCATTGCCCCCCTCCCATCTCGCAAATGAATTAGGGTCAGGTCTGTCCGTCGATGGTTGACTGTTCCCCTTGCCAATTTAGGTCCCCAGACAGTAATCTTTCTTTGGCAAACAAACACTTGGGACACGACATTTTGTCAAGCACGGCAGGCCAAAAAGTAGAAGTCTTTGTGTCATATTATAGTCTTTTAATCTTACAAAGCAGAAAGCTTCTCTGTGGCTGGATAAGGATGATGCTTACCGAAATCTACCTGGATCTATTTAGAAATCACAGATAAATCTGGGGAGGGGCTGCAGTCAGCCACAACACATTTTTCCAAGGTGTGTAAGTGATTCACAACCTCAAATTCTTTAAGCTGGAAATATTGGTTTATGTTCTACCTCCCCCAACAGCTACGCAGTATCCAAGGGAAAGCATTCTATATTATTTATATATATATATATATTTATTAAATTTATATGCTGCCTATCTTGTTATCTAGTGACTCTGGATGGCTCAGAGGCGCTGTCTTCTTTCTTGCTGCTTCCCAAGTCAAAAATCCAATGTTCCTTGGGCACGTCAGTATCTTGAGAATGAGTAGGGGTGACATGACAGCAGTATCTAATATCTGAGGGGCTGCCACAAAGAAGAGGGGGGGGTCAAGTTATTTTCCAAAGCACCCAAAGGCAGGACAAAAAACATTGGATGGAAACTAATTAAGGAGACAACCAACCTACGGTAGAAATAAGAAGAAATTTCTTGCCAGTGAGAACAATTAATCAGTGGAACTACTTGCCTTCAGAAGTTGTGGAACTACTTGCCTTCAGAAGTTCCACCACTGGAGTTTTTTTAAAAAAGAAACTGGACAGCCATTGTCAGTTCTATTCTAAATTGAAAATTGAATTGACATCTCTAGGCTGGGTGGAAAATAGAGACTCCATTTGAACAGGCATAACCCCTGGGGTTTTTTAACTGGGTAGTTAAAAAAACAAAAGTCAAAATAGTGTTGCACACACGAAAAAGGACAGGGCTTTGATCACACACAATTTCAGCCATTTTGACTTTTTTTAAACCAGAACCTGAATGTGTGGCTCAGCAGAGCAGTGAAAAGACGCATGGCTTGTAGGTAAGTCTAGTTTTATGAAAAGAAGACTAGGGGTGACATGATAGCATTCTTCCAACATGCCCCAAAGAAGAGGGAGTCAAGCTATTCTCCAAAGCCCCCGAAGGCAGGACAAGAAGCAACGGATGGAAACTAATCAAGGAGAGAAGCAACCTAGAACTAAGGAGAAACTTCCTGACAGTGAGAACAATTAACCAGTGGAACAATCTGCCTCCAGAAGCATTGAATGCTCCCACACTGGAAGTTTTTAAGAAGAGTCTGGACAGCCATTTGTCTGAAACGGTATAGGGTTGGACTAGAAGACCTCTAAGGACCCTCCCAACTCTGTCCTTCTATTCTTCTTGACCGAACAGCATCGTTCTCGAAGATCCCACTTCTGAGCATGGGTAGAGTGCCTTCAGAGGTGACAACATGCTTGGTGAATTCACCCAGCTGTACAACACACGAAGCCCCCGAAGACTCGACACGAAGCTTCGCCTGCTCGGTGCTGGCAGACGGCAGTTTTTTTTTTTTTTAACACGGTTTAAGCGCGTTGTGGGGACGCACAGTTACGGATCTCCGTTTCAGTTTTCAGCCCGTTCCTAGACTGGGCATTGGGCAGCCAGATGGGGACTCCGGGCGTGTTGGAGGGGGGGGGAAAGAGATATGGGGAGGGGAAAATTGATTCCCTCCCCCCCGTTGTTCCTAGCCCCCCCCTTCCTGCCCCTATAAAGCCCGAGTCCCTTGAGACGCCGCCAGGCACTCGGCTCCGGCCCCCCTCGCCTTTTCACGCTTCGCCCGGCCCTCCTTGGGCAGCCCCCGCCCTGCCTTGCCCCGCCCGCTGACGAAGTGCCCCAGTCCGACGCACCAGCGGGCCGCAAGTTCCTCCGGCGCTCTGGGGGGCTGGCTGGGCAGCAGCTGGGTCCGGGACTCCGCGAGCGCCTCGACTTCTTCAGCACTTCGGCGGGACGCGAACTTTCTTTTGAGCTGCTGTCTTGTCCCATTGCTTTCCACTTTTTCTCTCTGATCAGTTTCCTTTCTTTCTTTCTTTCTTTCTTTCTTTCTTTCTTTCTTTCTTTCTTTCTTTCTTTCTTTCTTTCTTTCTTTCTTTCTTTCTTTCTCTCTCTTTTTCTTTCTTTCTCTTTCTCCCTCCTCCCCACCCTCGTCCTGGCTGCCTGCTGGTTGCTCAAGCGGCAGGGATGGGGGGCTGCCCAAGGGGTCTTCAGCCCCTGCCTCCCAGCTCCGGGGGCCAAGCGCTCTCCTGCCCCCAGCCATGCCCAAGAGATGCAGATCAAGCAGGAACCGGCGGAGACCAGGGCTCTACACATTCCCACGGAGCCTGGCGAGAATTTGCGTCGCCTTCGGGGACGGAAACTCCTGCTGGGAGAAGAGAAGAACCTGGCCGGGTGGTCGTTGCTGACGGCCGTGCTGGGCATCTTCCTGATGGTGCTGCACACGGAGCTGGCCTGGTTCGGACACTGCGAGGTAAGTTGCTCACTGCCAGCTCCTGATTTCTAGTTTGATGAAGAGAAGGACGAGGGGGGACATGATGGCAGTCTTCCAGTATCTCAGGGGCTGCCCCAAAGAAGAGGGAGTCACGCTATTCTCCAAAGTGCCTGAAGGCAGGACAAGAATGGAAGGAGAGAAGCAACCTAGAACTAAGGAGAAACTTCCTGACAGTTAGAACAATTAGCCAGTGCAACAACCTGCCTCCAGAAGCGATGAACGCTCCAACACTGGAGGTTTTTAAGAAGAAACTGGACAGCTATTTATCCGAAATGGTGTAGGGTTCCTGCCTGAGCAGGGGGTTGGACTAGATGACCTCCAAGGTCCCTTCCATCTGTTATTCTGTTATTCTTTCCTCCTTCCTTCCTTCCTTCCTTCCTTCCTTCCTTCCTCCCTCCCTCCCTCCCTCCCTCCCTCCCTTCCTTCCTTCTCCAACACTGGAAGTTTTTAAGAAGAAACTGGACAGCCATTTGTCCGAAATGGTGTAGGGTGCCTGCCTGAGCAGGGGGTTGGACTAGATGACCTCCAAGGTCCCTTCCATCTATTATTCTGTTTTTCTTTTTTCCTCCCTCCCTCCCTCCCTTCCTCCCAACCTCCCTCCCTCCCTCCCTCCCTCCCTCCCTCCCTCCCTCCCTTCCTTCCTTCCTTCCTTCCAACACTGGAAGTTTGTAAGAAGAGACTGGACAGCCATTTGTCTGAAATGGTATAACCTGCCTGAGCAGGGGGTTGGACTTGATGACCTCCAAGGTCCTTTCCAACTTTATTATTATTATTTCTCACCTGTCCTTCTCTTCCTTCTTAAGCCTCACTTCAGCCTGGAAACCAGGTTTGTCTATTTTTGCTTCGGGCTTCCATCCCAAATCACTTTACAGGAAATATGTTTTTAAACATTTGGCTTATTTGGAAGGTTGACGGTGCCAGATTTGGGCACAGTTTGCAAGGAGTTTTCTCTAACAGGCAAATGAATTGCTGATCCAAAGTTGTGTGAAAGAGGCAGACAGATGTTGACCAGTTACTGCTTTTTTCTATCTGCTTCTCCCAAGGTTGGGATCATCCTGTGTGGGGAAGTGGGGAAGGGGTTGGATTAGAAACTAGGAACCCCAGATTTTAGTCCTTGCTCAGTTGTGGAAGCTCCCTTGGGCCAGTGACACTCTCAGTCCAAACTTCCTCACGAGGTGATTGTGGGGGAAAAATAGGAGAAGGCAGCCCTGTGTCACCTCTTTGGTCCAGAAAGAGAAGCAGGAGGTAAGGCTAACTCAAGGTTTCTCCACCTCAAGGTCTACGGAGATTCTCAGGCATCCAGGTCATGGTGGTCCCAAAAGTGCTTTATCAAAAGGCAACTGTTTTTCCTTGAAGACTGAAGAACTGAAGAAGCTTCTTGGATGAGAAGCGAAACCAAGGAAAAACAAAGTCCATTTGCCTTTTGAAAGATTGGGATTCTCAACTGTAATAGTAATAGTAGTAAAGTTGGAAGGGACCTTGGAGGTCATCTAGTCCAACCCCCTGCTCAGGCAGGAAATCCTACACCATTTCGGACAAATGGCTGTCCAGTCTCTTCTTAAAAACTTCCAGTGTTGGAGCGTTCACTGCTTCTGGAGGCAGGCTGTTCCACTGATTAATTGTTCTTACTGTCAGGAAGTTTCTCCTTAGTTCTAGGTTGCTTCTCTCCTTGATTAGTTGTTCCACTGCAACAACTTTAAGCTGGGAGGACTTCCACTCCCAGAATTCCCCAGCCAGCAGAGTTGCTGAGGTTGAGAAATTCCCCAGCCAGCTATTCATTGCTGAGGTTGAGAAATATTAGCCTAATTACTCAATAATTCTAAAGATGTTCTGCCCACAAATTTTGTGGAGTCCCCCAACGGTCTAGCATCTTTATTAGTGAGAATGCCATCTGTCTACCTAATATAGTGCCTTATTTTAAGCAGAATCTGTCAAGATCTAGCAGAAAGTCCCTTGCAATGTTGTGGTTACCAAGCTGGAATTGGGCACGAGAAATGGATTTTAATCCTCTTTACAAGATTTGCTCAGGGATCTTAACACTGTTCGCCTCACAGGAGGGGTGAGAACAAGTTAGTCAGAAGGAGAGGAAGTGATCCAGCCTCCGCCAAGCAAGCCAGGACAGAATAAAAATAAAAACACACAACATTTCTCCTGCACGTGTCCTTCTTTTATTTGCACCCAACCTTCCAAACAAATTCTATGGCCCCAAAGTGGAAGGAAACATGAAACCATTTACAGGTTCCTAAATCAACTTGACTACAGCGTGTGGCTGGGAGGGAAGGCTGCTTTGGATATTGTGACAAAATGACAGCCTTCAAAGAAGAAAACCAAATGTCCTCCCCTCTTTGTGTGCTTAAACTAATTTCTGAGGAACCTGCTATATAATAAGCTGAGCCATCATCCTGTAAAACCTGTCTGTGAATTCAGTGGCCGTAAGCTTTTACGGGGCTTCGGAAAAGGTAGAACGTGTCCTCAGTTTAAAATTGTTCATTCCGTGACCATTCCAAGTCACAACAGCACTGAAAAAAAAGGTGATTTACAACTGGTGCTCACAGCTGCAGCCACTGCAGATTCCCCAGGGCAATGTGATCACCATTTGCAACTTTCCCTGCACGCTTCCCACGAGCAAAATCCGTGGAGGAAGCCAGATTCTCTGTGATCCACTTAATGACTGCAGGGTATTACTAAGGATAAATATAATAAAGGATCTCTATACCTATTATTACACATGCTAAACAGCAGCAAGATTAGCCTTTGCACAGAGATGGAAAGATAATGAGGCACCCTCAGAAGAAGAGGTAATAAATAAGATTTTATCCTGTGCTGAAATGGATAGGTTGACGTTAGAACTCAAGGATAAGAGTGAAATAGATTATTATGAAATCTGGAAAAAATTGTATAATTGGTTGGGGAAAAATAGATAGAAAAACTCTCCGATTCAGCAAAAGACACATTGATCAAGAAAGATACTGATCAAAGGAAAAATATTAAAATATTAAGGTAAAAATTAAGAATATAGATGATGGGATCTATCAGAGAGAATATTTTAAAAAAAAGAAATATCTGTTTGAATATGTGGATTATGAATGATAGAAATCAGTTGTCAGTGATTTTTCTTTACAAATGTAAACCCAGCAAACACAGTTAACCAGCTATTATGTGATTTATGTTTTAAAAATCAATAAAACGTATTAAAAAAATGACTGCAGGGATTCGCATCACAACTGTGGCAAAAAAGATTGTGAAAATCAGGCTTGACTCATTTAACAACTGCTTTGCTTAGCAGTGGAAAGTCTGGTTACAATTGTCATAAGTCGAGGACTATCTGTAGCAGAAGGTAGATAACGATTGTTGCTGGATTACTGTTCGATAGACTGAAAAAGCCAGGAAAATTTCAGGTGGTCCTCAACTTAGGACCACCACTGAGCCCAAAATTTATGTTGCTAAGTGAAACATTCGTTAAGTGGGTTTTGCCCCATTTTTACCACATTTCTTGCCTCTGTCGTTAACTGAGTCATTGCAATTGATAAGTCAGTAATCCGGTTGCTAAGAGAATCTGCCTTTGATTTTTCTCTCTTCTGGCTTTGTAACGAATTTTTGGCCAGGAGAAAAAACTTGAAGCCTGCATGCGGTTTTGTAAACTTTCTGCCTAAAGTTGGCAGCGCTGAAGTATTTAGGCATTTCTGATTAAATGGATAGAAAACATCACTTCTTTTTAAACATTTATCTGTTGTGATTAAATTGGACGATCCCGGCTGTAATGATTAAAAGATGTGCGATTTACTCATTTGGTCAGTTTGTGCATAGTTAAAGTGAATTAGGAATGGGGAGATCTAAGGCTTAAATCTACCCTCAGCCATTCTCTTTCATTAACCCTAATCCCAACACAGGAATACAACAACATCCAGAGACGCAGGCAACAACACATCTGTACACCTGCCCTTTCTGTCTGTATATACTTGAGCTCATGGCAGTGCGACAGAATGCAATGAATGTTGCTAGTTTCAGGGCAAAATCTGATTAATTTGTACATGCATTAATCTTATATTTTATATCATACGGTATGCTTTATTTTAATTATGCTGCTTCGGACACAAACCAACAATAAACAAACCCTAACCCTTACCTTACAGGGTTGTTGTGCAGAAGAGTGGAGGAATGCAACATATGTTGCTTTGAGTTTGTTTGATCTCATACACAAAAGGGCAAATAAACATTCGTCTCTATTAGCAAATGAAAAATGACCAGTGGAGAGTTAGTTTACTTCATTTTGGTGTGACATGTGTGTGCGTTTTCCTCCACTTGCAACACACATGTCCCCATGCTCAACCCTGAGAATCAAACTCCTTTTCCTCTGATGGATGAAGAAGATTGGTGTTTCACGTGATAAAAAGTGGACAACTTTTTTGAGCCAAGAGTTACAGCAGGCGTTGGAGTTATGTTTTCAGGGAGGAAACAAAAACAATAGATGAGGTTAGGACAAAGATGAAAATCCATTTCATTCATATACAGGTGATCCTTGACCACAACTGAGTCCAAAATGTCTTTGCTAAGCAGACGTTTTGCCCCATTTTACGACATTTGTTGCCACAGTTGTTAAGTGATCGCTGCAGTTGTTAAGTTAGTAAAATGGTGGTTAAGGAAATCTGACTTCCCCACTTTATTTTGCATGTCGGAAGGTCGCAAAAGGGGATCATGTGATCCCCAGGGACACTGCAACTGTCCTAAGTACATGCCAGTGGCCAAGAGTCTGGATTTTTTTTTAAGTAATTTTTTATTTTTCCAAACTCTCCCCCATACATATACCGTGATATTTATCAGATGTTAACATACATTCTTTTAACATTCATATATAAGATACTTTTGATAAAATGAAATAAATACATGACTTTTAGTGTTGCTCGCCCATTTCCCCTTTCACTGTATCCACACTCCTCCTTCTCTACCTTCTTTCTCCCTTTCTTCTCTTCCCTACTTCC